AGGATCACATCTGATTTTATAATTGAAGCCTTGTTGTTTTAAAGAGGACCTGTGTGGTAGTCAGAATAAGTGCCTCATCTTTGCCCAAGGGGTTGTGTCCTAACTCTGGAAGCGCTGAATGTGGTCTATGATGTGACAAAGAGGAATTAAGTTTTTAGATGGAATTGAATTTGCCAGTCTGCTGATCTTAAAATAGGAAGATTATTTTGTATTGTCTGGACACCGTCATTTAAAAGCGTCCTTAGAGGTGGAAGAAGGAGGCAGAAGGTCTGGGAGATCCAGTGTGCGAAGGACTTGACCTACTGGCTTTGATGGAGTACAGGGGCAAGGAACGAGTCTCCTTTTGACACCCCAATTTTTGTGTGGACTTCTAACTTCTAAGAGGATAAAGCAATATGATCATGTTGTTTAAACCACTAAGTTTGTGGCAGTTTTTGGTGGTCATGATGGAAAACTAATACCGCTAATAAATGTGTATGTTTCAGGTCCCACAAAGCCCATGTTTTCCATTGATAGGGAATTTATTGTTATAAAGAATACATGCTTTGGGACTGGAAAATCTGGGTCTGTACTGTACTCGCCCTGTGAGTAATTCGCCAAACTCTTTCAAGCCTCACTTCCTCACTTGGCTATTGGAGCTAATACCTCCAAACCTGCTGTTGTGAGAATCAAAAGAAAAAATGGTTTAAAAAAACCCAGAAAATACAACGAGAGTGTTTATGTGCTGTGTTATTGTGAATTGTCAGTAAAATGTGTTTAAGGGATCAAAGTGCCTCTCACCTGGTTAGCTGGAAACAGAAATTGAGAAGGCAAGAGAGGCACTAGTTTGAGTGACCTGGATAGAATGATAAATAGTAGACACAATTCTGTGTCTACATCTTTTTCTAGATGTCATCCTGGTTTAAGTCAGCACAGGCTAGGAATTTTAGAGTTGACAAGAGCTTGGAAATCAAGTAGCCAAACCCCCATATTTTGCGCATGTGGATGTTGAACCTAGAGCATTTGAAAGACTCCTAAGGCCACCAGCAAATGGTCTGACCAGTGAATGGACAGTTCTCTGGGCTTCCCCCCAAGAACTGTAGCCTTTAATAGTCAGCAAGTTACTGCCAATGAGAGGGGTCGTAACGCCATCTAGTGGCTGCTCGTTTTATCTCAGAAATCCCTGCTGCTGTTTTAATCCCACTTCTGTTTTAAAGGTTGAGAACATTAGGTTGGTGCAGGCAGGAGAGGAATACTTTGCAGTCATTTGCAAACTCAGGAAGATTTCAAGCAACTTCTAATTTAAGAAGTGAAAGACAAGAATGAAAAACACCATTAAAGCATAAGGGAATTTTGTAAACAAATTGGAAATTTACTTATGCTAAATACATTGCTCAAGAATTTTATCTGCAAAGTAAGAAAAATGCATTTCTATTGTGTTTTCACGGACTCAGCGGCCTCACTTTCATTCCCTCATTTAATTTTTCTCTTAGGTGACAAATAACAAATTCAAACCTTACCAATAATAATCCTTTTTGTTTTATTAATATAGTCCTCATGACCCAAAATATACCATTTTAAAGTATACACATAACATGCTTTTTAGTGTATTTACTATCACCACTATCTAACTGTAGAACATTTACGTACCCCTCCCCCAAAGAGCCCCATACAGTGAATCAGTTAGTCTAATACCCTCATTCTTCCATTCCCTGGCAGTCATTAGAGTGCTTTCTCTCTCTGTGGCTTTGTCTTTTTTGCATAGTTCATATAAATGGAATCATATTTAACTTTTTGCTTCTGGTTTCTTTTACTTAACATTTTTAAGGTTCATCTGTGTTACAGCACATATCAATACTTCGTTCCTTTTTTATGACTGAATAATATTCCCTTACTTGGATTTGGATTTTTTTTTTTTAAGATTTTATTTATGCATACAAGAACTTGGGTGTAGGCCAGAGGTGTAGGGGGTGAGATGATTCACCAGAGACAGAGTCAGAACAGGCAGAGCTACTAAAATACACTGCTGAGGAGCAGCGGGGAGACAGGAGAGGCCTGTTGGGCCATGTGGGTCAGCTCCCTGACCAGGGATGGAACTCATGCCTCAGTGGTTTGGCAAGAGCTTGATAGCACTGTGTCTTTAACCCCTGTGTCACCAAGGAGGCCCTGTTTGAATATATGACATTTTATTTATCTGTTCATTATCTGATTTGAATTGTTCATTATCTGACATTTGAATTGTTTCTACGCTGGCCCTGTTAGGGTAATGCCTCTGTTAGCATTTGTATACAACTTTTGTGTGAATATATATCTTCATTTCTCTTTAAGTTTATACTTAAGAAGTAGAATTGCAGGGTTGTATGGTAACATTTAACTGTTTTAGTAACTGCCAGACTTTTTACAGCAGCTGCATTGTTTTATAATCCCACCAGCAATGTACATGTTCTACTTTTCTACATCTCTAATACTTGTTATTTTCTATTAATTATTATAGTCACCCTGATAGGGATAAAATAGTATCTCATGTGGCTTGTTTTTAATTTTGAAATAGCTCTTTCGCCCCTTTATTTTTATTTTTAGTTGTGGTAAAGTACACAAGACAAAGTTTACTTTCTTAACTTTTGAAGTATACTGTTCATTAGTGTTAAGTAACACATTATTGCACAACCAATTTACAAAAGTCCACCTTGCACAATCCTCACAACTCTGCTTTCTGCCTTCCCCCACTCCAGCAGCCGCTGCTGTGCACTCTGTATCTGTGTGTTTCACGACTTTAGATGGCTCCTACAAATGGAATGAATTCGTATTTTTCTTTGGGTGACTGGCTGATTTTGCTCAGCACAATGTTTCCCAAAGTTCATTTGTGCTGTAGTATGTGTCAGAATTGTCTTCCTTTGTGAAGCTGAATAATATTTCCCCTGTGTGTGTGTTGTATATACACTACATTTTATTTATTTATTCACCTGGTGGACATGGGGCTTGCTTCTACCATTTGGCTTTGTAAACAACATTGCTTTGAATATGTGTGCTCAGTGCTTTCAGGTCATTTGGGGTATGGCCAGGAGTGGGATGGCTGGATCACATGTAAATTGAATTTTTTGAGCTATTATCTTACTGCTTTCTTTCTATAATGGCTGCACCATTTTATACTCCCCACTAATAGTACGGGAGGGTTCCAGCTTTTCTAACACTTGTTTTTTTTTTTAAATTATAAATAGCCATCCTAACTGCTGTCAGCTGGTAGGTCCATGTGTTTTTAATTTTCATTTATCTCGTTACTAATGATGTTGAGCATCTTTTATGTGTTTGCTGGCTATTTGTGTATTTGGAAAAAATATATATTTCAGCTTTTTTACCTATTTTTAATCGGATGTCTTACTGTTTTTATTGTTAAGTTTATACATTCTTCATATATGCTGGATACAAGACTCTTACCAGATAATGTGGTTTGCCAATGGATTCACTTTTAACATATATTGAAGTATAATTTGCATGTAGGAAAACAGATAAATCTTAAAACATAAAGCTCAGTGAATGTTGAAAACTCCATACATTCTGTAACTGGGGTGTAGGCCAGAGGTGCAGTGGGTGAGAGGATTCACCAGAGACAGAGTGGGGAACAGAATAGGCAGATGGACTGAAATCCACTGCTGAGGGGAGCAGCAGGGCGACAGGAGAGGTCTGCCGCGCCAGGTGCTCAGCTCCTGGGGGGTGGGGGCATGAATCAGGTTGTAGTGGTGATAGGGTAATAGTGCTACCAGGGAAGTCTACAAGCTAAGAATATTTTTATCACCCAAAATACTGCCCAAGATATTATTTTTATATCTGTCAATATGAGTAAGTTTTGTGAAATTCATAAAGACGAAATTGTATAATTTGCACTACTTGTGTCTGGCTTCTCTCATTTTATCTGTGAGAGTCATCTTTATGATTGTGTTTACTCATTCATTTTTTTTATTGAGCTTTAGATTTAAAAAAAAAAAAGATTTATTTATGCATACAAGAACTCCAGTGTAGGACAGAGATGTGGGGGGATGGGGGCACTGGGTAAGAAGACTCACCAGAGGCAGAGTGGGGAGCAAAATAGACAGATCTACTGAAATATACTGCTGAGGGGAGCAGAGGGGAGACAGGAGTGGTCTGCTGTGCCATGGGGGTCAGCTCCCTGGCTGGGGATGGAACTTGTGCTGCAGTGGTTGCTGATAGCTTCCTAGAGCGGTGCTTCACCCCTCGCACCACTAGGGAGGCCCCTAAATAATAATAATTTCTATTTTACTTCTCAGTTATGTCTCTTCATAGACTACAAATACCCCTGAGTCAACCTTTTAATCTGTTACCAAGCATGCTTTGTGTGAATCAAGGGGATGATGTGAATAGATTTTGGTCGAGAGCTTGAGGCATTAAGTACCACGACTTGAAGAGGCTTCTAAAGGACAACCCGAGGGACCCAGGACAGCTTTACTCAGAGCCTTCCTCGAAGGTCCCTCCTCATCAGTCCCCTGGCTTCCACTTTGCTTGTCCCCTCCTCCGTGACACGTCAGTGCTGTTTGTTGACAGGAAGCCCTATCCCTCACTGTGAAGGCCTCTCCGGAGAGCTGCGCGAATGTCTTAAATGTGGCATCGGGCTTCCCCTGGAGAGGGGATCAGGACAGAGGGAGGAAGCGCCGATGCTCTAGTCTCTAAGGTTATAT